TCGAAATTAATTGTTCTATAGTTCCACAAAATTGAACATTAGTAGCTGAATCTAAAATAATCTTGTGATCAGTGTTGTGAAAGTCAAAGTAAAAATAATTTATTTCATTTAGATTGTGGGGTATAGTCTATAAATATATATCTGCCTAGTAAGCAATCATGTAAACGGTCGGGGGGCAGTCGCCGGTACGTTTGTGGATCAAAAAGTACAGTTTTTGAGGGAACTGTAAAATGTATTAATAGTGGTCACCCATATGCCGATTTACTGGAATCATTTCAGGACATCACACGACCACCTATTTTTAAGGACATCCCAGAGCATTCTGTGTACCATCACATCGAGACCACAGGTTCTCCAGTACACGCCAGAGCAAGGCGTTTGCCGCCACACAGGTATGATTTAGTTAAGAAAGAATTTTAATTAATGCAAGAGCTAGGAATATGCAGGCCATCAAACAGTGAGTGGGCGAGTCCACTGCATGTAGTACCGAAGAAAAGTGGTAAAATTCGTCCTTGCGGCGATTACAGGATGCTTAATACGATTACGAAACCTGATAGGTATCCCATTCCTAGAGTTCAAGACTTCACGTACGGACTACATGGCAAAACAATTTTTTCCAAAATTGATATTTGTAGAGCTTACCATTTTATTAAGATAAGTCCCGAGGACATACAAAAACGGCTATCATTACACCATTCGGTCTTTATGAATTCCCTAGGATGACGTTTGGACTGCGGAATGCAGCCCAAACCTTTCAAAGGTTTATAAATAACACCGAACTTGCCGGTATAGAAGCAATAGATTACAGTCATGGGAGTTTAAGCGATAAGAATAATCAAAACAATATTACAGGACGGTCAGTCATATTCGGATTCCTTGATGACGTCATAATCGGTTCAGATAACAGTGCCATACACAGAGAACACTTGAGGTTATTATTCGAACGGTTCAGTAAGTATAAAATGTCTATTAATATAGGGAAATGTGTTTTCGGTCAGTCAAAGTTAGATTGTGATTAGTGAAGTTTCAGAAAAGGGCATCAGCCCCTTACCAGATAAAATTAAAGCTATAGAAACATACCCCAAACCGGAAACCATTGAACAGCTTCGACGGTTTCTGGGGATGTTAAACTTTTATAGGAATCATATACCAGGAGCAGCAAAGGTTCAAGGAATTTTAGATAGATATTTGCACGGTGCTAAGAAGAAAGATAAACGTAAAATTGATTAGTCAGACGAAGCGTGTAATGCATTTGAGCAGTGTAAAGAGAAGCTAAAAGATGCCGCCACATTAAGTTATCCTATAACAGATGCAGAGTTATGTTTAATGAATGACGCTTCAGATTTTAGTATAGGCGCAGTATTAGAACAAAAAGAAAATAATGTTTGGAAACCGCTTGGTTATTTTTCAAAAAGGCTTACGGAATCGCAAAAGAAGTATTGTACATATGACAAGGAACTTTTGGCGATTTAATCAGGCATACTTTATTTTAGAAATCTCATAGAAGGTAGGAATTTCACGGTTTATGCGGACCACAAACCTCTTACGTATGCATTCACAAAGTTAGGATCAAATAAAGAGTTACCTAGACGGGCACGTCAATTAATGTTTATTAGTGAATTTACGAACAATATACAGCACATTGACGGTAGCAAGAATGCAGTCGCAGACGCATTATCGAGAATTGAAGCGATAACATGTCCAAGCTCAACGGAATACTTAGAAATTGCGAAAGCGCAAGCGGCAGACGCTGAGCTAGCGAAATTAATCAGTATAGACTATACCCCACAATATCAAGAAGCCGTTTATGTGTGAGAGAGCCATGATTCGGCACGAGTGGGCCGGCTCGACCGGAGTGGTACCATAGCCTCACAGAAAACTTACGAGAAACAATGCATTGTGTTCCGTCGTATGGATGACGTTACCAGAGGTCCAGTTACCCCCATCTCCCCGATCACCCCAATCCCTGAATCCCCGTACAATTTTCAAATTCCAAACGTCAGAAAACATTGTTATTGTTTCGAAATAATCTAAAGTACTCACTGTAAGATTTTTACCATAACCAGACGGTAATTTTGTGTCGACAAGCTTGCTTCCTATGCCTGTGATAGACTCTTCAATATACTTCAATATCTGTGGAAATATAATATTAGTAGACAATTAAAGTAAAACTATTAGAAATTTTGAATTTACAGTTTTTGCCGTAATAGTTATGAGTGAGTAATCGTTTATACATATAGAGTTATTTTAAATTAATAAACAACTTTTATAATACAAAAATTAAAAGATTGATGAACTATAGCTTTCTTTTGATTTACAGGCGTCTTTGTTTATTTATGTTCTATTTAAATATGTGTTTTAATTTATCATTAGGTTTCGTAACATTTAGAGCGTATAAAGAAAATTTTTTGATTAAACATCTGATCAATTTTCAAGACGTACAGCCCACCAAAATCGCAGCAATTCTTATAAGCCAGGATCCACATTAGATAGAACCTATAATAATGATGTACTTATTACTTATCTCATTCATTTCACTTCATATTATTTCATTTCAAGATTAGTGGATAGCTACCTAGCTATCCACTAATCTTTCCTATACCTAACTACCTGGTTAGGTATAGGAAAGATACGAATAAAACTTGTTGTTTATGCACTTCTTCTTTCTTCGAGTTTTGAAGCTCAAAATAGAGAATTTGCTGGCTTCTGTATAAAGCTTTTAACCCAACCATATACCTACTGTTATCGTCAAAAGATGTTTGTTGAGATTTTCAGCTATTCAGAGCAGTAGCCGACACGCTTATCGGCATTAGAGATCGACAAAGTTATTATCTGATTAAAATTTTGCTTACTAATCTTATATTTATACTTGACTATGACGGCACGTTGGCCCAGTGGTCGCAAATGCAACTGCCGGGCAAAGGGTCTCGGGTTCGATTCCCGGGTTGGGCAAAGTACTACTGGGATTTAAAAAAATTCTTAGTAGTAGCACTGAGTTTGGAATTGTACTCGGTATATGGCAATAGGCTAACCCCCTATTACATGGGATTCATAACATAAATAGTGAAAATTAGTTACATTGTACAGTGGCATAATATAAACCTCTACCTACCCCTTCGGGGATAAAAGACGTGATTTTATGTTATTTATACTTATTACATATAGCTGAAGAGTTTATTTTTAACGCACTAATATCAGAAACCACTGACTGGTACGATTAAATAAATAAATTTTTGACTAGGATAGCCTATACCTAATTGTTTATAGGATAACAATAAATGCATTAAGGACGGCTATAATAATATAGGCTATAAATATCACGTTACGATTAATAGGCGCTGAGCAGAGAGGGTGAAACCGCCAAAGTTTAAAAAAAACAATTCTTACATCTTTCACGTCATCTTTCATCATATGGAAGACTTGACCAGAGGTAGCCTCTGCCAATTGGTGAAACACTTGGTAATCAGCACCCCTTCTGCCGTTGCATTCTCCAGTCAATATAAAAACAATCTGTAAATTTCAAAATGATTTAAGTATAAAGTATACTGTAACAATTTCTTATTCTTCTTGTCTCAATTTACATATCAATAAAGACTTAGCGTGTTTCTATAAACTTGTGCCCATCTTATTTTTTTCGGTTTTTCAAATCCTGAGTAGTATTAAGCTTATAATAGTGACTCCTCCCTTATAGTGTGCTGAAACACATCATCATCATCATATCATCGCTCACGACATCACTCTTTTTCCTACCCCGCCAGTAAAAAAATGTGACAAAATTTAATATTTTTTATATTATTTTTTTTTAAACGTTGCCCCACACTAGATTTTTTTCCTGTGCCGTGGGGGCGTTTACAAACATATAAGTTCACATACACAATGACACCCAGACCCGAAACAACAATTTGTGGATCACAATATTACACTGCATGCAAAAAGGAGAATAATAAAAATAGCAATATAACTACCTGACTCTGCATCTTCTGTGAAAGACTCTTGACCTGCTCAAACCTTGCGTAGTCTTTAGCTGATGCATCAGTGAAAACGTACAAATATGAATGGGGCCTACTAATTCGAAGTGCTAAGCTAATGCCTTCCATGGCAGCTTCTGGGCAATCACCGCCTCCATGAACATGTATTGAAGCCAAAGCGCTTTTAAATTCATCCCGTTTTGTGGTAACGGTACGCTGGCTAGCGTCTAAAACAAAAGTAAAGTAAATATTTCAACCGATTTACCTTTTTTTTTAATGTACCACAAGTAAATATTAAAAAAAAACGTTGCCCTTTGACAATTTGTTGATCACACAAATTGGGTTGCTCCGTGCGGGAATCGAATCCGCGATACGTTGCGCGGCAGCCGGTTACACAGCCACCGCACCAACCCATTAATAACTTTTAATAACAGAACCGCTAAAAAGAAATTTTATCGACTTTAGCATCGTATGTCACGTGGTAGAGGTTATATCTGACTACTGGACTAAACCCGAAAGACCAAATTATATACGTATAATGTCACATGCGCAATATAAAATGACGAAAACAGATAAAAAATATATATCAAGTTGTTTTTAGTAGATTGTGCCAAGAAGTTTGGTTCAAACCAAACAAGGACATCAGGAAGGTCTCTGTTCTATGCTCCATCTATTTGGAATCAATAAGACGACACAACGAGGCTCGAAAAGTATGTATTGGCATTTAATATTAAAAAGTACACGTTCATCTCCCGCTTTAGGAGACAAAAGGCTAATGTTATGGGGTGATCGTAGCACTAGTAAAATACTAAAGACTTACACGGATCGTTGAACGTGACGAGCACAAAATTTTCTATCTGTGATGCCTTCGAACTTAGCACTTTCTCAAATATAATGTTAACTTCTTCTTTCACTTGCTTTATTTCATTCCACATGGATGCCGTATCATCTATTACGAACGTCAAACTACTTTTAATAACTGCATCGTCTGCAAAAACAGCACAAAATGTGAAGAACAGAACTAAGAGTCCTGAATGTGCTCTCTTAGAAATCATCGTGTGTACTAATGATTCATGTAGCGAGTAGATATTTATAAATCCAGTGTTATATGAAACCGACAATGACCTAATGATATGGAGTTCAGCAGTCTCCAAGTAATAATAAGTGTTCGGGAATCCCGCGTCGAGTGTCGCCACTCCAATTAAGATTAAAATTAAAAATAACGCTACAACTATACATAACGTCGCGTCGTCATCTCAACAAATCCCCGACGTAAGATAAGGTTGCTAGTTCCAAACCAGGATTTGAAAGAAAAGGAGAGTTGGTCATAATATATTACAGTCATGGAGAACGTTTTTTTTTTTTAAGGAGGGAAAATCATCGAATGACTGCTCCCGCCGGGGTGAGGCGGGAGGGAGTGTCAGACTCTTACTGACTAAAAACCACCCCGTTCCTTCTCCTGCACGTCGAGCCGGAGCCCCAGTTACCCGTTAGGTTCTCCGCGACTATGGAAAAGGATAGGTGCCAGCTGTTGAGTTGAATATCGAGTATCTGGCGGTGGTACTGTAATCTAACACTTCTACAAATATAGGAGGAGGCCTTGGTGACGAAAAGTGTTAAATCACCTCAAAAAAAGCGTCCACCGTGTATGTCATCCAATTGTGCAAAATTTTATTCAAATCTATTCAATAATTTTTGGCGGAAACAGTAGCATCCACACAATCATGTCGTTGGATTATATCTTTATTTCCATCTATTCCATAAAATACTTTTAGACCCCTACTATCTACTATTCTACCAATGACCAATAAACACTATACTCTTATACATCTTTTGTATAGATGTACCTCTATACTAATGTTATAAAGAGGAAAGATTTGATGTTTTTGTTTATTTGTTTGAATTGAACAGGATCAGAAACTACTGGAGCGATTTGAAAAATTCGGTTACCATTGGGTTTCTACATTATTCTAATGAACATAGGCTATATTTATAAATAGAATAAATGGGGACCGTGTGAAAATTTAGATAAAACTAGCTTCTGCCCGCGACTTTGTACGCGCAATCCCATTTTCTCCCGTTCCCGTAGGATTTTCAGTATTTTTTCTGTCATAAGAACCTTCACCTGACAATAAAAAACACAACAAAAAAGAAATCAACCAAATCGGTCTAGCCGTTCTCAAGTTATGGCGTGACAACGGGAAACGGGTTTCTTTTTTGTATGTATATAAAATAACACGATGTTTGAAAAATCTACCAGAAAGATTCTTATGTTGCTTATGCTGTTCTTAAAAATTCCAATTTCTGGCAAAACTCATAATTGTATGCGGATAAAGTCACGGGGCACAGCACATGATATGACGGCAGGATCATGTTACGCTGCACAGTAGTCGATAGCCAACAGTGTATTCGCATATGCAAAATTAATGCTGACTGATGCATTTTCCGTCTGATATCATGAGCGCCGGTTTCGTCTGTAGACCTACTTTCCGAAACACCAACTGTATATTGAGTGTTCTTGGATGGTATTATAAGAGTTATTTGTTTTGAGGTGAGTCCTTTGGTCAGCAGTGGCTACTTATAGGCTGTTTATGTGATATGATATGATATCGCTTATGAACAATTAGCGAATTAATAACATTCATGAAAAGTTAGAACGGTTCGATTCTCGGGTCGGGCAAAGTATTACTGGGTTTTTATAAATTCTCAGTAGTAGTACGGAGTCTGGAATTGTGCCTGGTATATGGCAATAAACTCACCCCCTATTACATGGGACTTATAACATAAATAGTGAAAAGTGGGTGTTACATTGTACAGTGGCATAATGTGCACCTCTGCCTACTCCTTCGGGGATAAAAGGCATGGTGTTATGAAGAGTTGGAACGAGCTTTGACTGAGCGGCTAAAAATTTTGATTATCCAAGCTATTATATACAGTAGCAAATTGCTCTAATTATGAACGATCTCTCTTATTCCAAAACTGTTGATCAATATACAACGATCTTTCTAATGCAATGGAAATCTTCTTATGGGACTTTCATGCCGGGCTCTACCATTAAAAGTTCTTCAGTCTGTGGTCTCCTCATTAAAATTCCTAGCCTTAGTACTAGTGTTACTTTGGCAAAAATATTGTGTGAAAGGATATAAAAATATGCTAAGGTCTTGCAAAATCGACTCACTTCCAATTTAATAGCAGTTTCACGTCAGAGGACTAAATTAAAATTAACATAGTTATTTATTTTGTACCTCGCATTTACTTCTACAGTTATGCGTCTTCCAAGTGGTAATAAAGTAGTCATCATCATCAACAGCCTATGAATGCCTACTGCTGAGCAAAACCTCTGCTCACACGGAGAAGGTTTGAGCATTAAACTGTCAAACACCAAGCGGTCACCGGTGACCGCAACCTATTGTTCTATAATTGTGTCTACAAAACCGGTACTCGACGAGTTAATCATCACTCTTGCTCAATGCGGGTTAGCAAAACAAAGTAGTAACAAGTAATAAAGTATTAATAGGACCGCAGTAGTGCTTATTGTGTTTTTTGTTTGTTTAAAAAAATGTTGCCTTAACTAGGATTTTCTTTTATGTCGTAAGTGCGTTTAAAATCATACAATTTCACTAACACGTGTCATGATACTCAGACGTGAAACAATAATTTGTGGATCAAATCGTGCAAAGTGTTGTTCCGTGTAGGATCGAACCCGCAACACGTTACACGGCACCCAGTTGCCTAGTCACCGGGCCAACTGTGCAGTGCAGCAGATCATTTTGTTTCTACGAGTATTTATTCTGATTTAGTAGTTTGTGAAGCGTATCTAATACATTTATTTATTTGTATTCATATGTAATATTTCCATTATAAACTCAATCTAATGCTTGGTTGAGGAATGCACTGCCAGTGTCGATAAGACAAGCTCAGTCGTTGGCTGCGTTTAAGTAGCAAGTTAAGAAGCACTACCTCTCTTCTCTATAATGTCATCATCAAACTATTTCCTTTTATGTGGTCCATAATTATGGTATATTTAAGCGTAAGTAGGTATGTAATCATGTATGTATATATGTATGTATGTATGTATGTATGTTTGTTTGGTTGTATACTCTCAATTTCAAAGCTATTCCGCAGGTAACGGGGAGAGATATTGTAAACGTTAATCAAATAGTACTTACATTTATTATATTCCAACTTACACAATCGTTTATTTGAGGTTACAGCAATCTTATTCTTAACACGACAAGTAGGTTGTTTGGAACGACTTCCTTCCACGGCGTGAAGTGGTTAACTGCGCTTAGGACGGACACGGCAAACAAGTGGGGCTATCCCCACCACTAACTTCGAATAACAAGTTTGCCGTGTCACGACTGAGCGCATTTGTCAAATTATTGTAGGGTAGGTAGTAAAAAATAATAATTATAATAATGAGATGAAGACATGCATAATATAGGTACCAGTAAATATACAATTGATAACATACATATAACATCAATGAGTTTATTTTTTTTTCTTAGTTCCTCCAAACCCACAAGTAGTGCATCTGATTTATTTAATAGCCCAGCAATATTCTGATGAAGCACGTTTACGTGGTTTTCAGAGAAAAAACTGTGTTTCAGTGGAATTGTCGTCAACATTAATTGTGTTTTTCGAAATGGCATAATTACTATAACAGTCAAATTCAGTTGCAGTCCATGAACCGCCGTTAATAATAGGTAACAGTGCAGAATCCACAACATTTATAATTTGTTTTTGTTCATTGTCATTTCTGCTATCTCTTTTTAGTCTATATAAATGATTTGCCATTTATGCTGCATATATTTTGCTATATTTAAAAATGAACCAAGAATGGTGCTTTTTGCAGATGATACATCATTAATTTTTAAAGTAGATTGACGTACAAATAATCTTGACGACGTAAACAACTCCATTCTTCAAGTGCATAATTGGTTTACCATTAATAATCTAGCACTTAATGAAAAAAAAAAAACAAAATGTATTAAACTCAGTGTACCAAACGTGCGTAGTAACGATTGTGATATTGTTTTGAACGGTCAAAAGTTAGAATTTGTCGACGAGACAGTATTTTTAGGCATTACGTTAGACAATAGGCTACAATGGGGTCCGCATATAAAGGCGCTTTCGGGGAGATTGAGCTCAGCTGCTTTTGCAGTTAGACAGATTAGACAGCTCACGGACGTGGATACAGCTAGGCTTGTCTATTTTAGTTATTTCCACAGCATTATGTCGTACGGCATTTTGTTGTGGGGTCGAGCTGCAGAAATAGAATCAATATTTATTCTGCAAAAGCGGGCTATCCGAGCAATATATAACTTACGCCGTTGCGAATCGTTGAGAGAATTGTTTAAAACGATAAATATTTTAACGGTGCCCTGTCAATATATATATGAAAATATAATGTATGTAAGGAAAAATAGGCAATTGTTTGAAAAAAGAAGCGATAGACACAATTTTAATACTAGAGGCAAAAATAAGTTAGCTATACCGCAATTCAGACTGTCCAAAGTACAGAAATCCTTTATGGAGTTAGGTATTAAATGCTATAATAAAATACCAAATAGCATACTAGATCTCAATGAAAGTAAATTTAAAACATATATTAAGCGCGAATTATGTAATCAAGCTTACTACACACTGACAGATTATCTTGAGGATAAGAATGCTTGGCAGCATGTTGGTTCGGCTCCACTGGACAATACTCAAATGTTGTCAGTAGTTAAATTCCAATAGTAGGTAATATAATACATAATTTAATACTTTAATTCTAATGTAGACAATCTAGTTTCCTTATGGCATCGAGCATTTCTTTCTTTATTGAAACAAAGAGTTTCCTTTTTCTTGTATAGAAGCACTATTTCTACGGATTGTCAGTATGCATATGTGAGCACCATGTTAGACTTAAGATTTTTATTTTATTTTTTTATTTTTATTTAAAAAGGATCTCCAACAGAGAATACACGTAACATGCACAGTGTTAATACAATAAACAGATAAATTGTGCTTCTCCAATTAAAGGAGATCACGACATGCAAACAAAATAAATCGTAATTTTGAATATAAAATCGAA